AAAAACTCAATTTCTATTTTTTGCAGTCTTTCATAAAAAAAGGGCTTAGAGACATCAGAAGGAAAATCATGGCTGAAAGAGAAGCAAGATTATCCGGGATGTTAGAAGACACTTGAAGAGCCTAGCTTGAACACTGCTAGAGAAAAGAATGTTCTGAAAGCAGAAATGTAAGGTTTGCAGTATTAGAATTTTTGCTGAGAACCCATTGAGAATGTCCAATGTCAAAATTTTAAAAGTATATACTGTGGAAGTAAAAGATGTGGGATGAACTGCTCCAAAGATAAGAAAATATAGCAAATACACTGGAGTCATTTAAGTTAATGCATTATTATCCCTTACAAATATGTTCCTTTTCATTTGGAGTTGGAATTATCTGATGAAGTCATTTTTTTAAATGAAGGCTGAAGTAAAAACAGTAACACTGAGATGAAACTGGAGCTCTACTTATTGTTTATTCGAAGACTCATATCATCTGTCACCAGCAAAAAATGACTAGTTTGGAAAAGAAGTTAGTATGCATTCTGGAAAGATCTTCAATATGTGTATGTTGTTAAAATTAAAGATTCAGCTGTGCAGGGTAGTATATATCTACATTCCAGCACTTGAGAGGCTGAAGTAGGAGGACTGTGAGTTCATGATCAGTATGGTCTGCATGGAAATATCGTGTCTCAAAAGTTTAAAAAACCTTAAAAATTGATGTTTAAATGAAGAATAAGTTTTATAAGTAATTGGGGAATAAGTTCTATGTTAAACATTTTCTTCTTTTGTGATCTGCTAAATACCTAAGGGTAGCATAGTTTATTTCCTTTGTTTTTGGTTAGAGAATATTCTCAAATTGCAAATTTCAAAAAGTTAAATGACATAAAAAACTTTAGTGCTATTTGAATGTCACAATGTGAGTGATAGATTTCATCATTTTATATTCAGTTTACATAATTTTTAAAAACAATTCTGGCCTATGACAATGCACTAAAACTATTCATAATGGATGAAAACTTTCATGTCACTTCATTTCTACTCTGGGAAGAAAGTTCTATTCAGTCATTCAACAAATATATATTGACTACCTATTATGCTCCATACACTGTTGATACTATTGGAAATTCATGAATGAACAATGAAGAGAAAAATGTCCCTCTCCAAGAAAAGGATAATAGAAGGAGAAGGCGAAGGAATAAGAAGAAAGAAGAAGAAAAAAAAGAGGAGGAAGAGAAAAGGAAGGAAGGATGAATTAATGGAGGAAGAAAGAAAGAAGGAATAAAAGAAAACTCTGCATCATCAGGATCTTCTATTTTAATGATGGGAGAGCTAGTAGTAGATTATAAAACTTATGATAAATAAGTCAGTTATGTGGTGTATTAGAAAGTTTGAAGTTCTATAGAAGAAATAGGCTCTGGTGAAGGGAATCAGACTGAGGAAAGGGAGAACAGAGAAGTGATTGCATTTTCAAAGTAACTGGTCAAAGAAACTCTGAAAATACAAGACTTGAGATAACACTTAAAGGTGGTAAAAAGAGCACTCCAGGCAGGGTACAGCAACTGGTCTCAGAATGACTGGAGTGGAGTAACTGAAAGGGAGTATAGGACTATGTCATGCAGTGCAGCAGTCAATGAACCTGTGCAGCCTGTTTCTCCCACATTATTATTAGAATATATTAATTGCTTACTGGCAATTTATTGTTCCAATTCAAAACAACCTGAAATTGAACATTGTTAACATCACTGTCACCACCTCCTCTTGTGATCCCCAAACCCGCTCCCCTTAGAGCAATTGCAAGTTGTTTCATAATTCTCTTTTTTATATGTATATGAAGCTGATCAACCATATTTCCTCACCTTCATCTCCTTTATTCCCTCCCTCCCACATGTATCCACCACATTGTACTTATTGTACTGTCTTATCTTTCATTATTAATTCCAAAGTCAATATTCAAAGGGGATTCTTGATATATACCCACTGTGAGTGTACTTTACTTTTGTCACTTCAAACCCTTCCCAGTCTGATGTTATAAATTATGTTGTATTGGAACACAGTCATAGTCATTTGTTTAGATATTTCCATGACTGTTTCCATGCTATGACTGCAGAGTGGAGTAATTCAGATAGAGACAGCCTGGCCCACAAGACTGGTATATTTGTTGTCTATCTCTTTGCAGAAAATGTTTGCAGAGAATTGATATAAGATCATGCCTTTTAGGCCAATGTAAATATTGTGGCTTTTAGTATGAAAGAAATGAGAAGCCATGGTAGTGTGTAAGCCAAATACTGACAGGACATGATTTATACTTTGAAATGATTATGATGGCTGCTATGTTCACAAATTTTAGGGATGAAGGGTGGGAGCATGGACATCAATTGGGACTATAGTTCAAAAGGTGCACTGAGGTGCCACCCCCAGTACACCCAGCAGATGCACTGTGGTGTACCAGCATGTTGAAAATTAATGAAAGATCCATAACATTAGTTGACCTGTGTTAGAAATTGTGTGAGTTTTTCTAGTAGTGTGTTCATAATTTCAACATTAGGTCAGGGCACATTCCTTTAAATGATGCTGTATATTCATGCAACTGGATTTTCATCAGTAGGCACAATAAACTAGAAAAACTCTGTACAAATCAATGTGGAATAGAAAATAAAATTTTCAGTGCCTAAATTGATTCCAAGTCTTCAGATACAGTACAGTGTCCATGAGTACAAATATCCCATTAGCAACTAATAATGGTTATTTAAAAGTGAAGAATTATTTTTGTTTGATTTACATTTATTACTTTTTCAAATGGCTGTTTAGCTGCAGCAGGATTATATTAATTTACTGTGGCTGTTCTAACCAATCACCACATACTTCGTGACTTAAGGGCTATTGGTATGGCTCAAGTGGTAGAATACTAGCAAAGAATGTATAAAGTCATGAAATTAAACTCAGAAAGATGGAGGCAGCAGTGCAGTTATGAATCTCCCTAATCCCTTTCATGGAAAATGATCAAACGGAAACCATGAGAAGCGTTACTCCAAAAATAAGAACAAAGCAAACCCTAGAACAAGAAGACAGGCAATCCCCCAGCAGTAGGCATTAGACCTGCCTGGCATCAACATTAGAACTGGAGACAGTGGCACACAAGAGACCTTCATCCTACCAGCAGGTGTTTCCTGAAAAGCACTGTAGGCCAGTTTGAGAGAAACAGAAAACTCCTGGGGTTTTTCCCAGTCTCAAAGTAATTATAATTTATTCTCTGCATCCTTGGGTTCTGCCTCTGTGCATTCAAACAAACTTGGATTAAATTATTCTGAATAAAACTTTTTTCTGAACTGAACAGGTACAGATTTTTGGTCATTATTCCCTCATCAATATATGTTAAAACTATTTATGTAGCATTTGCACTGTTTGGTACAATAAATAATCTAGAGATGATTGAAAGCAAACAAGATGTATTCCAACTATACACAAATACTACACCATTTTACATAAAGGTTTTGAACATCCTCAGATTTTGATATCTGTGACAGTTCCCTGAACCAATCCAGAGTGCATCATGAAGGGCTTGTGAAAGGTCCCATGATGGGATCTGAAGGACTGAGGCAGTCCAGCCCAACTGTAGTATTGAAAATAAGCATATGGAAGCCCTTTTCAGAACACAGCTCTGCACAGTGGAGATGTTTCTAGGAGAAGCAAGAAACACAAAGAATAAATCTCCTGATGGGAAATTAAAAATTTCTGAAAACAGCCCAGTATGTTTTTGAATGCTTAAAATAAAAACAAAAGCAAAAAAAGAAGTTTTGTGATGTTCAAGATTCATCCTCAAGTTAGCTATGGTGCTGCACACTTGTAATCTCAGTACTTGAGAGTCTGAGAGAGGAGGATAAGGAACTTGAGGCCAGCCTGAGACTCATAGTGAGAACCTGTCTCAAAAAACAAAACAATAAAAAAAAGTGTAAACAAAATGGAAAATGGAAATGGCAGCTATAGAAGGCAAAAAAGCCAGGATAATTTGAAAAGAGCAATGCAAGTACACTCATCTTGCCCTGGTGCTTGAGTCATGAAAGAATGGTGATTCATATTACAGGCCACCTTTGGGGTGGGCCTGAAGTTGATGCAGTTCACTTGGCTAGTCCCTAAGTTTTCAGCTGCCCCCAGGATGACTGAGCCCTTGCCACTTGTTGTAGATGCTCCCATACATTGTATTCACAATTCCTAACTTTCATCATAGATAACTTAAACATATTGATTTGTGTCCTGAGTATATAAGATGCTTATCTAGTGGGTCATGAAACAAGAGCCACTATAAATGAAAGATTTTTTAAATTAACATTTCTTCTGGTCCACTTAGTCACATATTCAGGCTTTTTAAACTTTTTCCAAATTTCATTATTTAACCCCAATCTCAGACTTCGCTATTGTACCCATCCTTGATTCTTTTTAGTAGCCTGTATAATCTCCACTCTTTTGATCTTCTACTCCTAGATCATATTCCTTCTTCTTTACTCACTTATCCTTCTTGCCCCATTCTCCCATCAAAATTTCAGTTCCTTTTGTGACATGTAGACTTTGATCCCCAACTCTTCCAAAGAAAACCACAGGAAGCAGAATCTCAAAGCTCCAAAGGCCTCTTTTTTGCACATCTACTAATATGATATTACTTAAGTTTTTAAAATATCTTAAATAATTAAGATTTAATCTTCATTTTTATCTAAAAGATTTTACATATTTATATTTATATGTTTATCTAAACCTATATATATGTTTATGTGATAATCATTTGGTATCTATAGTGGTACCAACAACCTTAGTTGCTCCTACATAACATAGCCATAGTATCGAGAAATTTCTAGTTCCTTTTCCCTCTGGATGAAAAATTGCAGTTTTCCCAAAAAAGGGTATTTAGCATTATGCTCATCCTCTTGCTGAACCTTCCTTTTCATGGTCTCACACTCTGGCCACTGCTCTTTTGTGATGGGGCTTGACATTACTGGTTCAGGAAAATTGGGCTTCCTCCATGGAATTGTTTACAAGCCAAAATCTTGCAGTAGAATTTGGGTTTGAAGCTTATGTTGTGGCTGGAACTTGGTCACAGCAGTGCATTCTGGCTCCCACTGGAAAAAAGTGCAAGATGATGTTTTGTAGGGTGTAGGTAGAGCAGCAGCAGACTGAGATACACTAGGCTTGATAGACTTGGTAAAACCCAGTAGTGTTGCATTGTTTGAAATTGGCCAAGCTGGTTTGGCAGGACCAATTGAAGACATGTTGGCACTAGCTGGTTGAGATGCATTGACTGCCTCAGATTGGGTTGTGTTGGAATGAAGCTGGACAGGGTAGGATGCAGTGGGCCTACATGAAGGAAGAGACTGTGGCCTGCAAGAAGGAGGTTGAGGTTGAGACTTGTCCAGCCTTGGAAAAGCTAAAGGTGCTAACTTGACCTTTCCAGGTGGGGGCATCTCATACACTGGTGGAGATGGACATTCATTGCCAACACTGCTGTCTTGTTTTGGGGCTTTAACTTGAAATTTTTTAGGCCCTTTGCACTCATGTGGGGTATGCAGCTGTGATTTGATAGCTGGAGAACACTTTGAGCCTTTGGTGGTGCTTGAGTTTCCCAGGGCCTGACAAGAAGATGGCCCTATGAAGTTATCATTCTTATTCCCTAGTGTATGAAAGACCTGCACTGATTCGAGCAGTTGCATGCCCAGGGAGCTTTGAGGCTTTTTAAAGTTCTCTTGGCTAAGCTCAGATTGACTTCTGTTGTGCTTTGCTTTGGGAATGGTTGTCTTCTCTGACTTTCTTTTGTTCCCTCTCTGCTTACTCTCTTCAGCCTTATTGGAGATGTTTTCACTGATAATTTTATTCTTTTCCTGTCCATGGCCTTTAGCTTTGCTGACCCTGCTGTATGTGGCTTTTGGAGGTTCGATGTGAAAATGCTTGGATGTGTTCACAGGAGGTCTGTCACTGGATGCAGCAGTAAACACAATCACTTCTCCCTCCAGTAGACACTTTGGGTTCTGGTGCTGAATTTTAGCCTTTGGAAATTCATTGGCAAGTTCAATAACTCCATTCTTTTTTCTGATTGGGCCAGTGTACTGAACTTTTCCACCTTGATGTTGTTTGTACCACTGGCTTTGTTGGCTGTGGGAATTTTGGATTGTACAAGACCTGTCAATAAGTGGAAAATGGGCAATATCTTCCACCAATGTAGCAATATATGGAAGACCATTGCTAGACTCAGTTCCATTTTTGAATGTCCCTTGGTTCTGAAGATTTAGGCTATTATTTTACATATTGGTATTTTCAGAAGCAGACTTTCCCTCTTAGCCCAAAATGTTAATGCAGGCTCAAAGTTGTGAATGTCAGGAATTTCTAAAGGAGTACATGAGGAGTGTGATTTTTGTTTGGGATTTAGTAGGCATCCAGAGGCTTTGAAAGCTTGGTTTTAATTTCATCCAAATTCTCATTGTCTACTTGTTATAAGTATGGGGCTGGAGACAGGGCAACATATTGATAGAACTTGGGACTGGAGCTATTAATGAAAAGTCTCCAATGTTACTATCAAGTTTCTGAGCATTTGTACTACTGCAGGACTTGAGGAATTCTGGAGTTTGTGCAAGACAAAATGTCTGCCTTGGAGGTTGCAATTCTAGAAAGTCTCCATCCCCATGGAAATTTCCACCACTAAAGGTACTCAAGAAAAGCCAGTCCCTAGGAAGTAGGATCTCCCAGCTACACACTAATACAGGAATCAAGCCCTTGTCAACAGGGCACATTTTTATTGACTCTTCTTAAGACCATGGATAGGACCCTGTGTTAGGAGAGAGGTGGTTATTGCTTGAGTTGCTACTGCTGGTCTTTTGATGCAATTTTTCTTTCTATTTCATAGGACTGTTGTAAGTTTTAAAAAGTTAAAGTCAGTTTGAAAAAGATGAAATATTTTGTGCTTGGTGTGTGGCTTAGTAGTAGAGCTCTTGCTCACTATGCTCTCGGCACTGATTTTAATCACAAACACATAAAAATGAAAACAAGTTTTTAAAGACTAGAATTCTCATAGACAGTGCACTCATTTCTCTCTGCCCTCCTTGTGAATATAAGAATATGGTAAGCCATGGACTAGGAGATAAAGTGGAGTTCTCCCCCATGAAATATATAAAGAAGGACATGTTCTGTGCACACTGAGATCCTTTGTACAGTATCACTTAAAACAAGGAAATTAAAGAAAATTAATCTGAGCATGAAGGTTTGGAAGTGTTTTCTAAAGATACCTAAGCAATAGGTTATGGTACAGAATTAAGTACAGTGTTGGGGGTTTTCCAGGACAGTGAGGCCTCATTCAGTGTGCTTCTGGGGGACTCTTAAATGCATCATGGATGACCATTACAGTGTTTTGGATTACACATTTTTATTTACTTATTTAATTTTTGGTGTTTGGGGTTTGAACTCAGGTCTTATACTTTTGAGGTATGCATGATACCACTACATCCATGGTCTCAGCCCTCCCCCTCATATAGAATGTGAAACTTCAGAGTGCTGTGTGAGAAGAGTGATTGAAATCTCAGGACTTGGACTCCTCCTTTCTGTCGACTCACCAACACTCTTCTGAGGATTTGTCTCTCCCTTTGAATGCTAATCATTCTTTTCCCTTTTTTCACCTTTGTGCTTACCTTGTAAACTCCTTTGTGATGGGTTGAGCAGTCCCAGAGTGGAAGACTCCAGAGGTGGAAACCGGTGTTAGGACGCATTCAGTCTGAACTTGTTTTTGTACCATCACCATTTCCGGTTGAAGGACAGAGGCCCTACCCCCTGCATATGAAACACTGCCATAGGATTGCAGGCTGGAGACAAGTTCTAGAGATATCAGAGGCCCCAATATGTTTTGATTATAATAATAGACCTCACTTCTTTCCTGGTAGGGAAATGACAGACTATGTCCTTGATTTGGTATCTGAGATGGTGCAACTTGAACAAATTTGGCAGGCAATGACGGATACAGTGGAACCACTATGTTGGCAGCTGAAGTAGAGATTTGGCTCTGGCCAGTAAATTGAGATGACATGGTGATGCTACAATGTTGGTAAAGGTAGGCATTACCCATGAGTGACTGGAAAGAGGTGTCAGAGTCTGATGGCTCTAGCCATGCTGGAGTGACATCTGGACCAGAGTCTCTGGAGAAGTTGCAGACTCTTCCTGTTAGGGAAGTAGCATTGCTCATCACAGGAAGAGAGACCTGCAGAGAATTGTCAATTCCAAGTAAAGGTGGATTTTGGAAATTTTCTGTAGGAAGAAAGAGGGTGATAAAAACTGAAGAGATTCACAAAGTCTCACTTTATTTGCTGAGCAGTATTAGCTTAAGGTTGTTGTAAACAATAAGTCACTAACACCATTACTCACTGAGATACCCAAAATCAAACAATATAGGGGGCTACAGGTGAAGCAGTTTATTCCTCTTCTGATGAACTGCCTTTTTCTAATTTGGGTACAGAAATCCCAAAGTAGCCAGTTTCTACATTGTTCCCTGGCTAAAAGCAGCCTTCTCTTTAACCTTTTTCCATGAGCCTGCACTAGTACAATCTCATAACTGTGTTCCAGAATTGAAGTATTTTAAGACTAAGATATCCTTAGAGAACTTCTGATCTTACCATTTTACAGGTGAACAAACTGAAGGCCTGAGAGGTCAGACCTATGCCTTCAAGTTCTCCCACCAAGATCTATCTGGTGCCGGGACCTGGTAGCACAGGCCTGTAATCCTAGCTTCCCTTGAGGAAGAGATTCTAAGGACTTGATTTGAAGCCAGTCTAGGCAAGTAGTTTGCAAGACCATTTCTCCAAAATATCCAACTCAAAAAATGGCTGACACAGTGGCTCACTTGGTAGAGTGCCTGAATAGCAAACATGATGTCCTGAGTTGCCAGTAAGGCAACAAAATATCTCCTTGTTATCTATATCAGGTTATAGAACCTTACTCTCTTACCAGGATTCTGTCTTTTGAAAAAAGACCAAAAATCAGGTGAAATAGAGCTTTTAATAATTGCTTCTTGTTTTCTTATTCATTACAAACTAGTATTACTAGCTAGGCCATGACTCAGTTTGTAATTCTAGCTACTTGAGTGGATGAGACCTAGAGAATTGTTATTTGTGACAAGCATAGGCAAAAAACATAGTTCACCAGATCCCATCTCAACCACAATTGCACATGCCTGTCATCCTAGCTAGGTTGGGAAGTATAAAGTAGGAGCAACACACTCCAGTCCAGCCCACTCAAAAAGTGAGACATATTTAAAAAATAACTGGAGCTAAAATGGCTGTCAGTGTGGATTAAATTATAGAGCACCTGCTGGAAGTCAAGAAGCCGAGTTCAGTCACCAGTACTTCCAAGAATGAAAGACAGGAAGGAGGAAGGAAGGAAGGAATGAAAAATGAAAGGAAGGAAGGAAGGCAAGAGTATGCTATTATCAATTTTACCTTACTGTCTCATTTTCTTTGTGCAAGTCACATGTCATTTCATAGAGTTCACTTACAACACAGACCAGGTGGTAAATGTAAAGGCTCATTGTTTGACCTCGTAAAACCTTACTTCTGATCCTAAGTCAAAATGACTACCCGAGAGTTAGTTTCTCAAAAAAATGCCTTTTGGAAAAATTTTTATTTAAACTTTCTCATCCACAAGTGTTATGGGTATTATTAAGTTTTTATCAATAATTCATGTATTGTTATTGAATATATTACCATTCAATAATAATAATGGTAACTGATCCAAGAATAAAAGTGACATTTATACATGATTTGTATGGAGGAATATATAGTAAGCTCTGCAAAGACAGACAAACTACAAAAAACAAAAAAAAGAATAAGTAGACATTAACATAAATTTGGATATGTAGTCAGCATCAAAATTGCCTAGGCTGGCCTTAAACTTACAATCTTCCCACCTCAATCTCTGAGTGGCTAGGGTTGCAAGCACCACCACCCCACCTCTATTTCTTTTGAATGTATTTCTAACCATTACATGCACACAGAGAAACTATAGCCTTAAAAAGGGTATAACAAGCAGATCAATGAAGCAAATGTAAATATTTAGGGAATCAATAAATAGTGGTATGAATCTGGGTGCATCTGTAGCCCCAGAACTGTGGAATGCTGAAGTGGAAGGGTTCTTTGAGCTCATGTTCAATGTCAGATTGAGCCAGATAGAAAGACCTTCTCCCCCAATCAGCACATAAAACAAAACAAAATAAAATGGTATAAAGTTGAGAGTAAAGCAATAAGTGTAGTAGATAATAATCCTACTAGACAGGTAGTTCAATTAATGTAGCCACATAAAAATAAAAAAAAACACTTAAAAAGTATTTAAGAAGGACTATGACTGTTTCTATATTTATCCTGAAAAGCTAGCTAATGGTCATCTTGAATTTACAGGGACATATCATACCTAAATTCTGAAAAAATTAACACTAAAATTCAACTAAAACAATGAAAAAATATGGGTGAGGTTTCATGATATATGAACTGAGTGCCTTATAATTGGTAAATATGCACTCTGTCCTTGAATTACACCTGCAGCCCAAAACAATTCTTCCAAATGTTGAAAATCTGAAAGATTTAGCAACATTGTTTTAGATAAATGTGGAATTAGAGAGGTGCAGACTGACTTTTTATTCTAAGAAAGTTCTTTCTTTTGATTCTTGTGTCTAAATACTGTTACTGACTATTAATAACTATGTATTCTGTATTAGGAAGAAAGTTATTGGCTTGAGTCTGTAGTGGTAACATTTACCTAACAAATGTTAGACCTTGAGTTCAAACTCCAGTAGTGTGAAAAAAGCAAAAATATTTTGAAAAGATAAAAAGTGGCTTTAGCTTGAAACTTTTTTCTGATTGAAGTTAGATTGCATGATTTTAAAAAATCCATGTATTTTAATAATCAGAATGAAATAGGACACTGATAATTCTGTTACATCAGACTTCTCTAGAACCCTCTTTCTTTGTGTGTTTACTGGAAGAATCATTCCTAAAATATTCATGTTCAAAGCTGTCAAGTGTGATCTGTGTCCAGAGTCGGTTGAAAAAATACAATCAAATGTAACCGTTCAGATAAACTGCCTTTATGGGTGATACACTGTTCTACCCTTATTTACTTTCCTAGTCCAGCAATACAAGCATTTGCCAAAACTGACTTCAGTTTGTTTTGTTCTGTGAATATTTCTCACTATGCTTTTTGTGTGTTAATTTAAAAATTGTTAGTTCTCTTAAACATTCTGTACCAGACTATCTTTTTTCTTGAGAATCTCTCCCTACTCTACATCTCTCTCATTGTTAATTTTCTTCCTTCCCTCACTTTTGTATTTTCTTCACTCCCTTCAGTTACTCTCAGCTTATGCTTAAATAAAAGAATCCCAAACTTCCTCACTCTAGAAAATCTCCCTTCATTTAACTCAGTCTTATCTTTCTTTCCTTCCTTTTTCTCTTTTCACGTAGTTTAAACAGAGCATTCCAAAACCACTGGATAATTTTGATCAGTGTAAATTTGAAATACTAAAGTGGAAATATTAGTAGAGGGAGACTATTGTAGATGAAACATCTTGGCATACAGTGCTACTTTTTTAATACCATCTAGTTTTTTCTCTGGTTCTGTTGAAAGTAACAGTCTCAAGAAGTCTCTTATTTCACTATTCATCTGCCTTTAGAGTTAATATTAGAGGACAAAAAGGAACAGAGCATGGGCAGGATGTCATCCTCATTTAACAAATGAGGAAATATTTCAAGAGAGAGTATACTATCTGTCCAAAGTCACATATCTAGTAAATGTCAAAGACAAAATTGAAATTATGTTCCCATATTTCCAGTTCAATACTTCCCCCTTAATTTAAGCTATTTTGACTCTAGTACTAAATTTAGGATCATGGAGGAAATCTACCTTTTTCATTAGTTTTAAAAAAGATGTTTTTAAAAATGTTTATTTCCTTACCTGACATGGTCAGAGAAGAGTTAACATTAACTGTAGATACAAGAAGTGAGGAGATGATATGTGTCTGGGTAGCTGAAGCTGAACAGTTCATGTGTCAAGTCCAAAGGACACTTGTAACTGATAATTGGTCAATGGCCACTTGCAGTGATTCAAATTTGTTTACAGACAACTCCATGGAAACCCCAAGATTCTACCCCATGGCAGGAGGCTTTTTGGGAGAACAATGTTATAACATTGGTGGTTTAAACTTATGAAGTAGCCAATAGCAAGATCCAATTCCTAACCACAAAGCGGGATTGGTTTGAACTCATAAGAGCCCCTTAATGAGTGAGCTCTGAGGAGTTGAAATCCTGAAAGGCAGATTTTTTTCAGTCTGTCTTTCCCGTTTTAGGGAAATCATCTCAATGGTTCTTATAAATGGTCATTAATAAAGATGTTCATAATTTTATATTTTACATTCTAACACATACTATAATTATATACTTCATATATAGTTAATATCCTTGGGGAGGAAGGGAAGACATATTGAGGTTTAGCAATTATAGTTATTCTGAATTCTGAAACTATTTCAATTGATTTGAATAGTGAACTTACTGGGTAAGGTAAGGGTTAAAGAGTCTTTTTTGTAATTTTGTTGAAGTGTATTTTGAAGTTCACTAAGTGCTCCTTGTAGAAGTGATGTGATCCAAGGTCCTTCTCTTTTAGATTCTTCTTTCATGGCCTGTGCTGGGCCTGGGCTAGGTTGGACTTGCATTTTCTTCTCTCCTTCACTGTGAGAATTGTTTGTTGGAGAAGCCTTGATTTTGGAGTCTTACTGGTATGGATGCTACTTCCTGTGAAGCTTGAGAAGCAAGCTTTTCCATAGCCACGTGATTTGAGAAATGGACTCTGCCCATTTGACACAATACCAGAGAGGCAAAATATTCAGCTGAATTTAACTCTTTTGGAGTGTTGTCACAATACTTTTTCCATAATTTCTTGTCCCTAGCTCTTTGGGTCATGCAGATATCCCACACTCTGTTTCTTTCATCCATGAGAAACATCAACTTAGTTTCTCTCTTTTTTAACAAGTAAAACCATTGTGGCAGTTAGTCTAGCATCTTCCCCCTTGAAAACAGCCAGTATAGAATCTTGGGCCTCTTGCATTCTGTCTGCCATGCGTGGGTGCAAGGTCAGGAAAAATAGTGAGATGAATAGTTAGAAAAAAAAGAAGACATTAGTGGAGCACAATAAAAGTAAGAAAAAGAAGATTCATGAGAATTTTTTAGGTTCTGTGTGAAACAAATCTACACAACTTGACCTCATTTTGTGTTAACATAAAAGTTCAATATTTTTTATGTAGCTAAATAATCCAGAAGTTGTTTTGAGTTCTGTACACTAAGGGGAAATATCTTTTTAAGTAAATATTTAAGATTTTGTTTTATGTCACACTGCTCATTTATATCATTCATTAGTTTGTTTGTATATTATAGACTGCTTCTAAAGGTTGTTTTTTTTTACTTCTTTATTCTTGTCATATTTTTTAGCAATCCACATTGTTAAGACACTTTAAAGATTTTTTTCATGAAGATTATTTACTTTTTAGCATTATTAACTAACTTGAACTTTAGGATTTTGTGGAAAAAATAATAAAAAGGGCATGTGGAAGGGCACTTTGGAGAATTAAATGTGTCCCCAAACATAAGGAATGGACTTTTGCAGTAAGCCCAGTTTGATCTGGATTGCCTTTGCTTTTCATACCCTGGTTAGTGATTCTCTTCTTGTGACCAAAATTGCTACGTAAATATACTCATAACTGTAGTTTTAGCTCAATAACCAACTTTAATCACCACTCTGCTTTCAGTTACACAAATTGAGAAAAAAAGATATTTTTTTCTCTTCTTTGTCATTGCCATATCTCCCCTTCAAATCATTCTACCCATGTGAGAGAATGTCTACATTTCCAGGCAACATCATCATGCTTCTCTTCTAATTCCACTTTTTATGTGAATGTAAGAACATACAACACATCATCAATGGCAGGAGCAGGTCACATAGTTCTCATTTTGCCTGGCAAAAATGCCAGAGTTCAACCACCACCCAGTCCTTTGAAATCCTTCATAAAACCCCAACAAAAGAGGCTCAAATGTATGGAACCTATATTGAATCTTGTATAGAATGTATATCAACCACATTCATCTTCCTTACTTCCTTCTTTTATAATACCCATCCCTTAGCTTTACCAGTTTATCATTCCTGTTTTTTGTTGTTTAATTCTGTGTTATCATTTAATGCGATTTTTGCCTTCATATTATATCTTTATAAGTATTGTGCTTAAGTCAATGTATCCCTCCTCCACTGCAAGTACTTACCTTTCCCCCATCCTGTGCTGTTTAACAGTTTTCAGCATGTTTCTTTGCATCTTGTTCCTACACAGATGTGATGTTTTGCATTATTATTTACTATCTTTCTTTTTTTCCCCCATCGCCTGTTCTCCTACCAGGCTCACTGAATACATGCTCTGTATCTATTTCTATGTATATATACTATTGCTTGTATTTTTATTGAGCCTACATTACACATAAGAGAGGAAAACATCAGACATTGGCTGACTAATTTTACTTATGATGTTTTCCAGTTCTATCCACATTCCTGCAAAGGACAAAATTTCATTCTCCTTTATGGTTGAATAAAGTACCATTGCATGCAAACACTACATTTTCTTAATCTATTCATTAGTAGCAAGGCATCTTGCTTGTTTCCATAGCTTAGTTATTGTGCATAATGCTGCAATGAACATGAGTGTGTAGGTGTCTTTATCGTAACCTGACCTACATTACTTCGGTTATGTCCCTGGGAATGGTTTTGCTAATCAGTTGACATTTCTATTTTTGGCTTTTGAGGAGACTCCAGACTGTTTTTCATGGTTGTTATACGAATTTACATTCCCACCAACAGTGTATGAGGTTTCCTTTTTTCCCCACATTCTTGATGACATTTTTTGTTGTTGTTTGTTTTCTTAATGATAGCCATTCTAACAGGAATGAGGGGGGAACCTTAACATGGTTTTGGTTCACAATTCCTTTGGCCAAGGATATTGAGCATTTCTTCATGTTTTGTTTTCTCTTTTGTTAATTCATTTATTCACATGTGCATATATTGAGTCATTTCCATCCTTCCCCTCTCAGTTCCAGGCAGGTTCTGTTCTGCTATTATCACTAATTTTGTTGAAGAAAAGACACAAGCATAATAATGAAGACAAAGCGTTTTTGCTAGTTGATTTAAGGATAGCTATACAGAGAAATTTCTAACATTACTTTTGTGTACCCGTGTGTTACCACCCATGTTGATTCATCTCTAACTGATTTTTACACTGGTTCCTGACTGCCTTCTTATGATAACCTCTGTTACTTTAAAGTTTCTGCATTAGTTCCTCTGCAGTGGGGATGTCCAATGCTTTAAGGTATTGGGTTTTCTACCTATTTCTATATCTTCCTTATGTGCTCTCCCCTTGTCATGGCACCCAAGTCCAACTACATTGCTGCATTTGCCCTAGACCTAAAGTCTGCATATGAGGGAGAACATACAATTTTTGGTCTCTGAGCCTGGCTGACCTTACTCAGAATGATGTTCTCCAGTTCTGTCCATTTACCTGTAAATGATAATATTTCATTCTTCTTCCTGGCTAGTAAAATTCCATTGTGTACAAGTACCACATTTTCTTGATCCATTCATCAATAGTGGGGCATCTTGGTTGTTTCCATAATTTGGTTATTGTGAATAGCGCCACAATAAACATGGGTGTGGAGGTACCTCTGGAGTAACCTGTGTTGCATTTCTTAGGGTACATCCCCAGGAGTAAATTTGCTGGGTCATATAGCAGGTCTATGTTCAGATTTGTAAGAAGTCTCCAAATTATTCTCCAGAGTGGTTGTACCAGCTTGCATTCCCACCAGAGTGGACTAGTGTTCCTTTTCTCACATCCTTGCCAACACATGTTTTTGGTGGTGTTTTTGATGATGGCTATTCTAACAGAGGTGAAGTGGAATCTTAGTGAGGTTTTGATTTGCATTTCTCTTATGGTTAGAGATGGTGAGAATTTTTCATTTGATTTTTGGCCATTTTTATTTCTTCTTTTGAGAAAATACTACTTAGTTCAGTTAGCCATGTCTCAATTGGTTCACTGATTTTAGGAGAGCTTCATTTCGTAAGTTCTCTGTATAGTCTGGTTATCAGTCCCTTACAGCTGTGGTGGTCTTTTCAGTTTACAGACTATTTCTTTTGTTGTGCAGAATCTTTTTAATATTATGAAGACCCATTTATTCATCCTTTCTTTTAGTTGCTGGGCTTCTGGAATTCTATTGATGATGTCTTTGCCTACACCTATTAGCTCCAGAGTGTTTCTTGCTCCTTACTGTAGTAACTTCAGAGTTTCAGGTCTGATATTTAGGTCCTTGATCCATTTTGAGTTGATAGTAATACAGAGTGATAGACATGGATCTAGTTTCAGTTTCTTGCAGACAGGTAACCACTTTTCCCAGCAGCATTTGTTGAAGAGGCTGTCTTTTCTCCATCACATATTTTGGCAGCTTTGTCAAAAATGAGGTGGCTATAGTTGTGTGGATAAATATCTGGGTCCTCTATTCTGTTCCACTGGTCCTCAAATCTGTTTTTGTGTCAATACCATGCTGTTTTTACTGCTATTGCTTTGTAATATAGCTTGAAATCATGTATTGTAATACTTTTAGCATTGCTCTTTTTACCGAGTATTGCCTTGGCTATGGTCTCTTGTGTTTCCAAATGAAGTTTAGGGTAGAATTTTCAATCTCTGTGGTGAAAGTCATTGGGATTTTGATGGGGATTGCATTAAACTTGTAGATTGCTTTTGGTAGTATTACCATTTTTACTACTGATCCATGAGCATGGGAGATATTTCCATCTTCTGTAGTCTTCATCAATCTTTTCCTTCAGGAGATTGTAATTCTCCTTATAGAGGTCTTTCACATCCTTTGTTAAATTTACTCCTAGGTTTTTTATTTTTTGGTGGGCTATTGTGAATGAAATTTTTTCCATATATTCCTTCTCAGTTTGTTCATTGTTGGTGTATGGAAA